ATATATATATATATATACCCATGAAATTTGATTGGTAGGTCAGGATCATGTAATTCTATGTTAAATCACACTTGCTGGATTTCACATAAAAGTCTTCCTATGCAGCCCAAGTGCAAAGTACCCATTACCAGCAGTAAACAAGATAATGTAATCTAAATTTACACCCAAAGCATGTGTTACCATGAATTGGATTAACTAAGCTTTCCAATTTGTTCAAGATCCTTGGCAATCCAACGTACAGCTGGAAAGTTATGGAAGATTTTAATCCAGAAGTTCAATTAGGGTCCTCAGCCAGCGCACTAAGTACAAGTTCCATTGCATATTGTACCCAAGGTTTTGGAACTTGGCTTGGGCCATAGGCTTAGCCAAAGCCTAGAGATAAAAAAAATGAGATTTATTGGCCCAAATATCTTAATTTTCAGCCTTTCATCAATTAGTGGCATTGAGTTTCTCGACCTTTTGACTAGAATTAGTCAATTCTATATGGGACTATCGCATAGGGTTGAACCAAGTCTCAACATATATGGGCCAAAAATGAGATAGAAATTGACATAATGGTGGATACGGCAGAGTTTGAAAAGAAACTATTTCTTCTCAATTGAGGATTTCGGGCTAGATCTCTCAATTTCTGGCCTTTGATGCAACAAATAAGTATGGGGATTTTGTAGAGGGTTGAGTCAAAATCACATGAAACCATATCTAAGTAAATTTGAATAAAAAATGAGGGAGAATCTATGTCAAGGTGAATGAATAGAAAACAGGTTTTGTTTGCAAAAAGAAGGACAAAAAAATTCCCTAAATCAGAACTTTTGATCCAAATTGATCAACAGGCCTTGTTTGCAAAAAGAAGGACAAAAAGAATTCCCTAAATCAGAACTTTTGATTAAAGATTTATCGACTTGGATGAAGAATAGAGGATATTATATCTTAGCAATAATTGTTTTGCTCAGTTGTTTTCAAAACATCCTAATCTCGTTTGGGTGACAAACCTACCAAGTGTGTACACTAACCATGGCCGGGTAACTCGGAGGAGCCCGAGTGGACTCCTCCGAGTCTTTGAACACTGGGAGTACCAGATTTTCAATATAAGGACAGGGTTTCTATGAGTCCATGTGGAAATGAGTCACCTCTAAAAAGTTTATTTTTGAGATGGATTGTTGGACCTAATTTTTAAGGAAATATAATATTTAAAATGGAGATAATAAATATGAAAAAATAAATAAAATTTAAATTTAAAAATAATAATTCTATTAAAAAAAGCATTTGGACTGTTACTTTCAATTGTTTTTAGAATGACCACTTATTTACAATGGATGCTTTATACCTCGGGGCAGCAAATATAGAAATACGGTCCCTGCTACATGAAATAATTTATATAAATACGGTCCCGGCCGCATGAAATAATTTTCCCACTTATAATCGTATCACACCACCCGAGGAAGTTTGTTAACCTTTCTTACATCTAAGTGCGCGTGATTTAATGTGACTGGATAAGGAACCCTAACCCTTCGTCTCAACCCATAAATAATCCGTCTTAGAATAAAAATTGAGGATGGCAGCATACATGGGTAAGCTTAACAAGTTACTTAACCCTTGAACTAGCGAACTCAATGGTGAGATTGGTGTCGGACCCCATCTATAATATGCTTCTACATTCTCATATAATTGCATAGGTCCGATGCTACACTTTGAGATGAGAAAAAAAGGAAAGTATATAATGAGAGCATTCACTTTTTGCATAAGGTGGTCACAATTAATCTTGACCATTAGATGTCAAATCAGGTGGATGTATTTATTTTATTGATATAGCTCAAAGTTTAGAAGAAATTTTTGCGAACTATGTGACACACTTAAGCTATCAGATTTCACATCGGATGGTTGTAAGTAATTGGGATCTCTCTATGCAAAAGGTAAATAGTCTCATTGTATACAATCCCTAAAAAAAATATGGCATCTTTGCTTATGATCATTTGCGAGTAAGACAAACCTATTATGAACTGCAATTATTGATAAATAAAATTGCTATGGCATCTTTGCTTATGATCATTTGTGAGTAAGACAAACCTATTATGAAGTGCAATTATTGATAAATAAAATTGGCCATTGCTAAATTTAACTATTAATAGGTAAGATGGCTCTTTAGCAAAAAAACAATTCATAAAATGGAATCATTGGCAAACATCCAAAGGTATTTCTAGTAAAAACTAAAATCTGAGGGCTTCCATATGATTTCATACCCTAGAACTTAAATACCTATTATGCAAAGCATGATACAGAAAATCGACTTGGCCAAGGTGTTCGGCCTTAGGTAGAGCCGATTAACTCGGTGGACTTGACCGAGTTACATACATACCAAAAAAATTTTAAAAAAAGCAAAACATTGGTAAAAAAAATTTTGCAAAATCTTTAAAACATAGAAAAAGTTAAAACCTTGAATTACGTATGGAAACATATAATTTTGCCTCACCCTTGCTAAGGCACAGGTCTTAGACAGCCGCCCAGGGTTGGGAACTCGCTGCCGACGCCAAGGCGGCTGCACTCAGACTGGCCACCCAATTTGCCCATCTAAGCCTGGGGATGCACCCGGGCCCCTTGGCCCACGGAGGTACCCGCTTCTTGAAACATTGAATACAGCTATATGTTATTTATTTGATTGTATTACAAAGAAATGTGTATGATTATAACATAAGAGGCTATTTTGTTTTACATGTTTTTGTTGTTTTTTTATTTACTTATTACAGAGGAAGAGAAGAAAGATATCAATATTTGGGGATATATATTCTATACAAGTTTATTTCAGTCGAGATGAAATCTTTCATCAAGCAATTGAATTTTCTTGCGCTGCTTTCCGATCACTTGATACTGCTGATACGCTGGCTTTGCAATATAAGGCGAAAAATGTATTAAAACAATGGGGTGGTACTGGATGGAAATGTGGGTTGAAGTCGAATATGGGTACGACAGCGGACCTATTAAAAAAGGGCAACCCATTTCAATTGGTCTCTGCTATTCGAGATTCCAAGTTTTAACCAAGAAAACAAGGCCATGTTTATGTTCAATTCTAGATAATTTATTATGATATAAGTGTTTAGCTCACTTGTATAGATAAGGACATGGAAACTACTTGGTTTCTCATATCTTGTATTAAATGTACCTTGTATTAATCAATGTTGCCGGATTCGCTTCGGAGCATTTTTCTGTTTGGTGAGAAAAAAAAACAATTCGGTGCTTTCGGCTGATTCTGGGAAAGACTTTGGATTTTTTTTATTTAATATAAATAAAGTAGATATATATATATATAAATAATTAAAACGTTAAAAAAAATTTAAAAAATTACTTTTATATCGACAATTTTTTGCTTGGGCTGAAAAGGCCAAAGCTTCGATCGAATCTGCCCGAAACATACCCAAATCTAGCCTAAAGGGCCTAAATAGCAGCAGCACCAGACTTCTCTTCGCTTCGGTCTAAGCTTAAAATTCAAAAGTCTTTGGCCTCGATCGAAGCAAAGAGAATTTTGACAACATTGGTATTAATAGTCTCATACGTTGTATTAAAAGAGAAGATCTAGAGAGATTGTATATTTGGTTAAGTCTCTATATCTAAAATTATTTCATAGCAGATAATTCATTGGACTTCTTAAGATAATTTAGTTTTGAAATTATGGACATATGTTATAGACCATGTCTTTTAAGCAAGTCTAAAGGGAATTTAGGAGGTAAATGAGCTGGGCTAAGAAAGGATATTCCATTGAAGCCCTTACTATTAATAGGTTCTCAAACTCTCCCTAAGTTGTTTTCGTTGATCTATTGAGATGTACTTGTAAATGATTTAATGAATTTTTAGTAACATTCATCAAAAAAATAAAAAAAAACGAAGAAAAAAAGAAAAAAAAAGAAAAAGCAGATACCCTTAATCATCACCATCATCACCAAAAACCGCCATTCTACTCTATTGAAAGTCACTCTTAATCATCACCAATTCATATCCAAAAGCCGCCATCCTACTCTATTGAAAGTCAGAATGTGAATTGTTCCTCAAGTCATTAATGCAAGAGAGAACCATATGACTCATTCGAGTTCGTTGTAATCAATGTTCAAAAACTCACATTCGGGAGGCAGGCAGACTTGAATCGTTCAATTTTAAAAACTCGGCATTTTCTTTTGGTTGTTGATGAAGCATTAAAAGCAATGTTGTACATGGTTAGGGCTATTAATGGGACTGGTTCGTGGCCAACAACCCTGCCAAGCTCAACCCAAACTGTTTAAAGGTAGGCGCGAACCCGCTCGGGACTTGGAGTTTCAAGCCCGGGCAGAATTCCCAACCCCAAAAAACTCAGACTATATAAAAATGGGACAAAAATATTTTAAAATACATATTATTAAAAAAAATATTAGGCCAGGCCCGGCCCATGAGCCTTAACAGTGGCCCAAACCCAACCTAAAACTGGGCTGGTGGAAAAGCTCGCAGGCCAGCCAGGCTGTTAACAGCCAGGGGATCTGCACCTCCTTATTGCCAAGGCGATCCACACCATTTAGCTAGCTAATAAAACAACAATTAGACCATCACAAATAAACTCGAGCATACCCCAGCAAGTCCACTTATAAAACATGGTGGCTAGCTGACTGGTTTTTCTGTTACAAAAACAAGGGCTTTTTGTACTGGTCATAACAAAAGAAAGTGTTTAGTTAGAACCGAAGCCTAATAAAAATAAGTAAAGCCTCGCCTCAAAATTACCGAAAATTGCACCAGAAAACCTTCATATCGATCATCTTGGACCTGATCATCATGGTTGTAAAATAAAAAGAAAAAATGAATTTCAACCCCTAAAAGTATAATATATTATTAACACATTATCTAAAAAAAAGGATTTCAAGCGCGGGTTTCCAGTTGAGTAAGACAAGCAAATTACTTAGCAAAATATACATATACAAATGGCAACCATAAACTTAATAATCTAGGGTTTGGAAAAGGAACACCCAAATAAATGAAATCAAGCAACCAGTTGACAGAGACACAAACAACCTTTCACCATTCACTTCTTCAAAACACTGCAGCAAAGGTGATAGGGCAGTCAGAATAAGTCCGCCAAACAATAATAAAAATTCACAAAAAGAAACAAAACATAGAAAAGAAGTAAAGAATTGAGAACAAAAGGCTACCGTAACTAGAAATTATAACAGAAATATAAACCAAACTAACTGAGCAAGAATCAGAAACAGTATGCAGGTAGTAGTATGGTAACATAAACCTGTTCATAACTCAAGACAATTCCGGTAAGTACATTCCCTAAATAGATGAAAGGATGAAGACTTCTTAGTAAGAGAATGCTATATCAAAATTCCGCCAACTCTGAAGAATGCCAAGCATAGAATACCACGAGCAAATGCTAGACTCTGTTTGGATGGCCCAAAAGCTCCACTAAAGATTGGAGGCATGTGAAAACATGTGAAAAATATGTTTATTTCTATAAAGTTGTGTTAAGGTGGTATCTTCTTTATAAGGATAGGAAGGCCTGCGCTGCTGAATAGGGAAGTGGAACATATGGGTGGCTGGCAAAGCAAATAGATCTAGTTTTTAATAAACAGTCAGTCCATCCAAATGGGGACTTCTCCAAATTCATAAAGAAAGAGTCTATTTTACACAATTTGTATAATCATAACACAGAAACAGGCCACGCATCATCCATGGCCTTTGGTGAAACATATACAATGGACTCTTTGAATACTCGCCAATCTATATGTGAGAGTGTAGATACACAACTCGCTACAGAAGAAACAAAGCTCGCACTGTTAATTTCTCAATTCTCACACTTAAAGGACACAGAAGGTGAAACTTCAGAGATTTCTACATGCAAAGGAAAAAAAATACTGATCTTACAAGAGACACATGGCTATCTTACAAAAATGGAACTGGAAATGATAATTGAGAATAAAAGTCTATAATCGTTGTATTGGTCACTTTATTTGTTTAGTTTGCTTTATGTGTGCACGTTGAAAAGATTAATGTCTACGAGCACCAGGCAACTGGTATCTTATCCATATTACAATTGTGTCCAGGACACTAGCATGCATGCTATATTGCTATCAACTCGACCCATTGCAGTTTTTAACATAATGGCATCTACGAATTCAATTTAATACATGAAAAATAAACGGACTATAACTAGGGAAAAAAAAAAATACATAGATCCAAGGATCATTCTGCTGATGGACTAATGACCACCATACAGGAATAAAATCACATCTTATAACTACAAAGAAATCCAAAGGACAAAATCTATCTTTTTCCTTTTTATTCTTTCTTTTTTTTTTTTGGGGGGGGGGATGAAGCCTTCCAGTCAGGCAAATTCCATCTTAGTGACATACACATCAGGCCTGCGCCTGATAAGATAAGAGATAAAAGAAACACATACGACACACACATCAGACAATAACAGTATATTTTTGCCTGCCTGGAATTTTTTCTTTGCCTAAAATATTTGTATTTGCCTATATTATGAGTAATAAGGCATTTCAAAGATAAGACCATTAGTTTATAAAGGTAGTTAATAGTAGTGGGAAGGAACTCACTTGTATAAGTATGCAGCAATCCCCAGAATTATACACAGCAAAATAATATCAACGCAGAAGTTCCGACTGGATCGTAGCTGAACAAAAACATGTAATCAAACATCCGAAACTTCTTTTGATAATAGCAGGAACATCAACACTTCAACCATATATGAATCAATCATGTCTGGCATATATGCACTGGTGATCTAGTTACCTTGGTGACTGTGTCCTTTAGTCGTACATTTGTATTCTTAAGGTCAGATGTTGCCCTGTCAACCTGTAACAAGACAAACAGGAAGTATTGCAATACGAAGGAACTTGATAATGCAATACAAAGAAAGCATTACATAATGTTAAGTAACTTCAGTGTCCATGTCCTTTTCTGAATTAATACCTAACTATTCAAAATCTACCAAGAAAGAAGGAAGATCTTACCTTGGTGTCAATCTCATCAATTAAAGGCACTTGCCTGTCCACCTCCTGCACAGAAATAAATAGACCTCTGGTCAACACTAATGTTAAACATTATATACCAGAGCTGAGGTACAAAGGGTAAGAAAGACACCGACCTCATTCAAGTCATGGGCCATATTCTTCAGTGTATCAAGCCCTTCTGCGATAGCATCCAAACCTTGATCCTGCAATAATTATACAGTATACACACTTGTTTTCTTTAAGTATATGATAAACAAACTTAAATCGTGCTTAGGACAGCAACAGACATTGCCATTATGCTCATAGATATTTTTTATTAGTTCAAAGAATGCCTACTCATGTCAGTTGGCCATATCCACATGAGCATTCATTGATTCGCTGAAAAAATAATCAAATTACCAAAATAAGGTACTACTAAGGCATAGGAAAACCATGCGCTTCAAAGTGCAAACGTATCTATGTAAAGGTTAAACTTACATTCTTTTAAACAAATAATGTACTACAAAAGAATCAAATCATGCTGCAATGAAATTAAGAAAAAATGGGTCGATGACTTTGGAAGGAGTGCCACAACAGGACCTTCCTAGAGGTCTTAAAATTCCAGAAGAGTACTCAAAAATCAGATTTGAGACACTGACATTTCTTGGGCTCCATAGGATTAATGCTTTGGTTGTCCTCAGATGTTGGAGAACTCACAGTGAGTGCTCAAATCAGAGGCCATGCATTTGTTGAGTGCTTATAACAAATTCCTACAAATATAAAAAAAACCCCAGAATCCCTAAAAGAACTTAAAAACACCAAAAATAAATCCTAAAATTAAATTATAATATACATTCTTTAAAATTAAACAAAAACTAAAAATATGTATAACCTTGTCCTGCATCAGACTCCCCTGATTGGAGAAAACTCATCCTCCAGTTTGAAGTGTACTAAGATGATATCAGTATAAAAACCACCTTCTTTAACCTTCTTCTTCGTTATTGGCTCAAAGATTAGTTATCATAAGAAGAAATCCTCAAGAAATGGATCCTCACATGGATATTGAGGAATTGATACAAATTTGAACTCGCATTGAACATCATATAGGAAACTTCAAACTCAATTTTCTGGCCTTTAGAGACTTTCTCAACATATATTTCATTAGATTCTAAATCCAGACCACATTTGCAGTTTATGAGTCAACTACACTTCCGATGAGCTGCTCCGATTCCAATACCCTAAATCTCTTCAATATTCCACCTCTTTGATATCCTTGAGATCTTCATATTGAACCTTATCATAAGTTTGATCCCCTAAGAGATCTTGTTGTTCATCTAAGCATGTACCCAAGATTAGTGGCAAATCCCACTCTACAATCCGCTTATTCTGGAAATTACTTGTTGAAATAAAGATTCTCCATGGTATGTGTCCTCAATATCACAAACCAAGAAATCTAAACCATGCTTGAGAATGTACATAAGATGGAAAGAGCCACTGAGATGAGCCTTCCTCGTCCTTCTCCCCCCACTCCCCCAGCCTCCTTCCCCTCTGCCCCTCATTCGCCCCTTCCTCCTCTCCTTTGCTGCTTTCCTTATCTCCTGAGTCGGCTCTTAAGCTTGAGGACCAATTCAAGTGCTCCGTGGTGGGAGTGTTTCAACCCCAGCAGGACAATGTTCACGAAATGGGGAAGATTTCTTTGGAAAGACCCCACTCTATCTTGCCGAAAACTATCCGACAGTTCCGTCCTCTTCTCCTTCTCCTCTGGATATGCACGCCCCACGGAGGCATATTTGGAGGGAGGGAAACCAGGCAGCGGACACTCTCGCTAAAGATGGAGCAGCATTAGTTGGTGCTTAATTTTTGGGATCAACATCTTTTTTCCGGCTGCTTTGTTTCCATCACTACAACCCTTAAAAAGATGTTTTTGGATTCTACTCTTTCTCACCCCCTTTTTCATAAGAGTTTTGTTAGCTATCCGCCTGTGGATAGCATCTCTCCTCTAAACTATGTACTTCTCTTATATATTATAAAAGTCAACATTATCAAAAAAAATAAAAATATCACAACCATACTTACCAGGATCAGCTATTTTGGCAGGAGGATTCCTTCTACGATCTCGATTATGTCGTCCCGGTATGGATCTCTCAAGGATCTTGGTTTTTTGGCCTTCAGGATCTCTCTCCCTTTTTCAAGGAAATAAGTTTCCCTTAGCTATGTATTTGTGTTCCCAGCTATTATAGGATCTAATTCCTGAGTGATATGGTTATCGATCCTAAGAGTTGTCAACTCTAGATTCCATTACATTGGAACACAAGGATTTCTAGTCCCCTCTCTCTCATCTTGTGGTTCTAAGGGCTATTCTTTTCAAAGTAACAACCAACCAACCCTCCCCTCCTTCCTAATTTAAAAAAAAAAATCTTCTGATTGTAAAAGCTTGATATTGGAAAGTATATTGCAAGGCTATGCTTTTAGACTCTCTCTCTCTCT